TATATTCGATCCGCAATATGTTGCACACTATGTTGCACACTAATGCAAGTTTGATTGGCTATGGTGCTATATTATTGCACAAAATTAATAACAAACCCCATGCGATAGAATTATAGTAAATGCACATCCCCGGATAAATTTGACTTAACGCCAGGGGTACATAGGTGGTGGGCATTTTTGCAATCGTTTGACTTCGACATAGGGTACAGCAAGGGTGATCGAATGGCGCAGGTCGAGTGTCTATCTCGGAATCCAGAGTCTGATAAAAATATTGTTCAGAATAAAGTTCCTGAAAAGCGAATTAATCTGACAGAGGTAACAGACAGCTAGTTGATATCGGAACAACAGTGTGATAGTAAGACCTCCGAGATTGCAACTAAACTAAGAAATAATGAATTGTCAGATAATTTGGAAAAATCTTATGAATTGCGTAAAGGTATTTTGTATAGAAAAATACAACGAAATGGTAAAACCAAATGTCTACCAAATATTCCATGATCCTTAAGATGGGCCATAATAAACCATGTCCACGATTCAGTAATGCATCTGGGATGGAAAAAGACTCTAGACAAGGTTTATTATTGGTTATTAGTGGTGTAATAGTTTTTGATTAAATTTGTAAAACACTGCGGTTAGTTTATTCTGCTTTATATATTTATTAAAACGTTTTCGTATAAACCTTATCGATTGGAGCTCCACTTCATAATGTGGCTCTCTGCTAAAGATATATTGGCCTTGGCTCACAATTCATATAGCTGCGCGAGCAGCGCCGCGGCCAAACGTTTATGTATATAAACATGTATATTAATGTACGTGTGCCGCTGCAGAGCAGCGGCCAACGCTTATGCATAAGTGTATATGAGCGGCGCTAGCAGCGGTCAACGCTTATGCATAAGTGTATATGAGCGGCGCAAGCAGCGGGCGCGCATGAGAGGGAGAGTGTTATGCTCACACTGTAAACGAATGATCGGCCGCGCATGCAGACATGCCGGCTCAGCATTTAGGATGTTCATAACATTGTTGTGTGGGTCGAATTACTCCGCACTTGAAGTGCTGGGAATATTTGGCCATAACCAAACGCCACAATGTTGCAGTGATATACATAAGTGGTACAGTGTGTACCCGATATGTGAGCATACTACATCTCCCCCCTTTTGAAAAATAACGTAATAAAATGTAGTTATTTTGTTAGTTTTTACGTTATTTAGAAATGTTTTAATTAGTAGTAAAAATTAAACTTGTGGTATAACTTATGATTGATGAAATTATAGAAATGAATTTAAGAATTTAAATGAAAAATTTTTCCTTTTTTTTTTTTTTGGATCCGTTTTTTCTCTCTTTTCTTTTGTGTTAACTTTCTACGGAAATTCTATATTAGAAACTTTATTCTACAAAAAGTTTTAGTCTATCCTTATGAACTGTTTGTTTTTTGTTTTTATTATTTGAAATTAAAACGTTTTCGTTTTCCCCTAATTCCGTTACCGTGTACGGACGTGTATATATATATTTTAGCTTATGCCCTACTTCATTTTTTAATAGTACTTTATCTCCTACCGAAATTTCTATATTTCTAACATTTTTATCATATAGCTCCTTATTCTTTTTCTTATATTCTTCTATCATTATCCTTGCTCTTTTGTATGCTACTTCTAACCTGTACTTACTTTCTTTAGCGTAATCTTCTATATTGTAGATTACTTCTATATTATTAATGGTATTGAAATGCTTTGGTAAATTGTTAGTTTTTCCAAAGACTAATTCATATGGACAATTGTTATGTACCATAGATGGGGTCGTGTTGAAACAATATACAAAATATTGAAGCCATATGTCCCAATCAGTTTTATCAACCGATATATATGAACGTATGTATTCATTAAAGGTTCTATGACTTCTTTCTATTGTTCCAACTGTCTGGTGGTGGTGTGCAGTTGATGTAATATTTTTTATTTTCAGGTATTTGCATAGGTCTTGTATAATTGAATTTTTGTATTCTGTTCCCATGTCCGAAACGAACGTCTTCATTGGACCGTACTTTAGAATAAAATTTTCAAATATTGCTTTTGCAACAGTATTTGCACTTTTATTAGCAATTGGAATGGCAATTAGATATTTTGTTAAATCGCAGATTAAAGTAACTGCGTATTCATTCCCTTGTTCAGACTTAGGCAGTGGACTGATCGTATCCACGATTACCCTGTCAAAAGCTGTTAGTGGTGGTTCAGTAATTGTTAATGGGGTCTTTGTATGCTTGGTTATTTTTGCTTTTTGACATTCTAGACATTTCCGTATGTACTCTTTAATATATCAAGTCATGCCTTTCCAAGAGAAAGTCTTTTGACTTTGGCCAAAGTTTTGGTAATGCCAGTGTGACCTCCCTGAATGGGTTCGTTATGGTATGTAGACAGTATAGCTTCTTTTTCTTTTTCAGAATTTATTTGGGTCACCGGGTTGAGTAGCGCTACTCTTAATGATTTTAATGTTTTATTGCCCATTATCTTGAAATTATCTAATGAAACGTGTTCAAAGATATTTTCCCACGGTGCCACTTTGAGTTGGCTGATTTTATGTATACCGGCTTGCGTTTCAAGCCTTTGGAAAAACTGACCTAAGTCAAGGACTCCATTGGTATATAAATCGCTAACATCATATCTTGCAGTAATTTTTTTTCCATGTTTAAAAAAGACATATCGTATTTTTTACGTGCAAGGTCACTACTTTTCGTACCTCGTCATTATGAATGACTTCAAATACGTTGGGCTTTGAAGCTTTTTCTATAGGTTGCCTAGGCAACTCTATTTCTTTATCTCCTGCGCAGGATTTCTGTCTACTTTGTAATCTTGTAGTGACTTTTTTTACATTCTTGGTGATATTTTGTAGTTCCTCGATGGTTATTCTTGATAACGCATCGGCTACATGATTGTCTTTACCCTTTAGATACTCTACTGTGAAATTATATTCTTCTAATTCAAGTCTTAATCGCGTTAATTTTGAACTGGGATTTACCATGGAAAATAAGTATGTAAGTGGTCTGTGATCTGTCTTGACAGTGAAGTGTCTACCATAAACATATGGTCTGAAGTGCGTTATTGCCCAATGAATTGCTGCAAGCTCTTGTTCTGTTGTACTTTTGTTACTTTCACCTTTGGTAAATGATCTTGATGCGTATGCAACTGGAAGTTGGAGTCCATTTTTGTTTTGAGTTAAAACTGCTCCACACGCTTGCTTACTAGCATCTGTTATTATGCTAAATTCTTTGCTGAAGTCTGGGTATTGTAACAAAGTTGGTTCTATTAAAGCCGATTTAAGGTGTTCGAATGCATACTGGCAGTCAGCTGTCCATTCAAATTTTACGTCCTTTTTGCATAACCTAGTTATGTGACGTGCATAATCGGCAAAGTTTTTAATAAAACGTCTGTAATAATTGCAAAATGCAATGAATCTTCTAGCGCTGTCCGCATCATGTGGGACTGGATAATTTTTTATGACGTCGTATTTTTTGTCGTCAGGCAAGATTCCTTTATCAGTGCATTTATGTCCCAGAAAAGTGACTTCATGCATGAAAAATGAGCATTTTTCAGGATGTAATTTCAGGTTGTACTTTCTGCAATTTTCGAAAACATCTGTTAAATTTTTAAGCATGTGCTTTTCAGAACAACCAATGACTATAAGATCATCCATATAAAGGAATGCTTGGGAGGTATCTAGTCCAGAGAATGCTATAGTCATCATTCTCTGAAAAGAGTTTGGCGCTATCTTTAAACCGAATGGTAATCGCGTGAAGCGATACGAACCATTACTTGTTGAAAAAGAAGTTATATCCCTTGAACTTTTTTCAAGTTCAATTTGATGAAAACCTGACATTAAGTCGAGACATGAAAAATATTTTGCTCTACCTAGTTGATCTAGAATGTCATCAATTCTTGGGAGCGGAAATTTATCGGACAACAGTTTTTTATTAATTTGACGGTAGTCAATAACTAATCGCCATTTCTTCTTGTCTGAGCCTGGAAGAGACTTTTTCGGAACTAACAAGAGTGGGCTGTTATACGCAGATACAGATGGTTCCACAATTTTATTTTGAATTAATTTTTGAACTTGTGCTTGAATTTCGTCTTTTTGGCTATGGGGGTTTCTGTAATTTTTAATGTATACCGGTTCATCATCCTTCAATCTCAGTTTTTGTTTATAAAAATTATTAGTGCTTATCGATTCGGTTTCTAGTCCGAATACATCGCTATAATGTGTGCATAGGCTTAAAAGTTGAGTTTTAAATTGTGGCGGGAAGTTTTTTGAAAGTATAGATAGTACAATCTTTTCTCTATTTATTTCATTGGAATCTACTACATCGTAGTTTGAAAGTGGTTCATATTTTAATTTATTCACGCTGACTACTTGATCATCGTTAGTTGTATTAAGTAGTCTTATGAATGCGCTTTGAGGTGTTGCTATGGTATTTGCTATGTATATACCATGCTGAATTTCTTGGTTTGGAATCAATATACTGTCTTCTGTGGAGTCTATTTTAATTTTTCGGACAACTTCGGATCTTGCTGGCAGAATCATAGAGTTATTGCCAGAACTGTATGTTATTGGAACATAAATCGGAAATTTAAGGTTATTAGGTCTAATTATAAGCCAATCTTCTGATGGCTTGAAGTCTAATTGACAGTTATATTTTTTGATAAAATCGATTCCCAGTATTCCATCACAGGGAATAGCGAAATGTAAACTTACAATATGAAAATTGTGTGGAATTATATATTTATCAGTTTGGATCTCAATGGAAATTTGACCCACTGATTTGGTAACTTCCTGGCTAATGCCTTGAATGTTTATAAGATTGTCTGATTTTATGTCGTGAAAGACGTCAGAATTTTCTTTAATAAGTGATATTTCTGCACCTGTGTCTACTAGAAATACAAGTTCCTTGCCTGTTGCAACATTATTAAAACATACGAATATGTTTTGACTGAGATTGATGGTGTGAATCTTATGGTTTATTGTTGTTGAGTATCTAAGGGTTGCTGGGAGTTTCCCGAAGTATTCTGGGCTACCCTCACGTTATTGTTATTAGAATTGTTCGTGTTGTTTCCTCCATTTGAGCGACTGTTACCTCTGTAACTGTTGTTTCCTCTGGAGTTCGAATTATTGTAGTAGTTCGGCTGGCCATTATTGCGGTTATAGTTGTTACCATATCCACGGCCATAGCCTCTGCCGCGATAATTACCTCTGTAATTACCACGATATGCGTGTCCTCTCTGAGTGTAGAATACTGTGCTGGCATTGCCAGTCATTTGTGTGCTGCAATTTATATATTTGCTTACGGCATCATTCATTGTTGGGAATGTGCCAGCTTCCAGGATGGTCTTCAGTTTCCCGTTTTCGCAGTTTCTAGTCATTGCGTTGATAGCTTCTTTAGTGCTGAATTTTTCAGCAAGCTCGGGTTGTAATCCTTCGTCAATATACGATGATTCCAGAAGCTTCCTTAGATTGTCCATTTCGGTCGTGAATTGCGTGGCCGTTTTTCCCTTCTGATATACGTTTGACATTTTTGCCTTTACAACGTCAGAAGTTTCGCCTACGATTGTGTCTTGCAATTTTTTGATTATTTCTTTTATTGTAGTTTCATTTTGTACTTTATAGAGGGTTGAGCCAATTATTTTTGACTTTATGACCTCTATTGCAATTGATTCATAATTGCCTTTTGTTAGATCAACTAACTTAATTGCCGTAATGAATCTTTGCAGATGGATTTTCTTTCCATCAAATTCCGGCACTGCGTGAGAAATGTCTTTGATATATGCCCGTTGGGCTGCCGATTCGTCCACCATGATGTAAGGCTTTTGCTCAATTACACTAGCACTGGTGTCAGAATCGGTTTGTTCCTGATCTGAAAATTCAGATTGGATAAGAATAGCCGGTATAGTTAGATTGTTTAAATCCGTCTCCTCAATTTCGGGAGAATGTTGATCGGAGTCTTCGGCCTCTAAAGGGTCGACCTCAGGTGTGTCTGAGTATTCCTGATCGGTTTCTACTGTTAACGGGGTGTTCAGGATCGTTGGTACCGAGATAGTTAAGTTGTACCTTCGTTTTATTGTTATAAGGTTTGAACGAAGTTTTATCAGGAATTTTGATACTTGGGACCAATGAGTTTTGTCTAAACGGTCTCTCTGGCCATGTATAAGCGTACGCGCTGTATTAAAGCGAGCCACTAATATTTCAGCATGTTTATTTATTGTTACTTGCTGAATCGTTCTATTTTGTGTTAACGACTTATAAGATTTGTCGAAATCACTTTTTAAATTTTGTAATTCCTTGTATAACTCATTCCATTCCATTATCGTATGGATATGAATTATTTCCTATAAACTACCATTATAAGAGTTCTACCCAGTATGTCATGATCATCTATAACCGATCTTACTTGAATACCTGGGATTGTACTCAATATAATTGCTTTCTGCGTCGCAGAGCAATGAATTAATGGCGATGTGTCAAGATTAAAAATATCCATATAATTATATTCTAGCTCGCTAATTTTTGTTGGGGTCGTTGAGACCAATTGCTGAATACGTTCAGCGAAGAGACTATCCCTTTCATAAACTTTTTGAATTACCTCTTGGGTATTCATGTCTTTTATTCATATAGTTTGTATAATGTATCTGCAATATTTGATTTGTCCAAATGTAATAACATAACCACGAGTTTCCAAGATAGGTTTTTATTAAGTTTTTTGAATATATATTTTAATGATTTATAGTCTTAATTGTTTTAGTTATTATTTGTTTGAGCAGCTAGGTCCTGCTTGTTTTTTACCTCCTTCCAGGTTGCCATTAGTGGAGGGAGTTATTTTCTTAGATGCTTTTCTTTTGGTTTCCCTATTTATTTTTGTAATCTCTGCAGATATTTCTGCACGTCGTTTAGGGTCTGTGCACCTAGTTAACGCGTCCTTTAGTCCTGCTCTCTTTCTGATGGCAGCAACTCTAACGCCTCCCCCTCTTTTGGGAATTTTTACCTTAGGGATTTCTGTCAGTTTTTCTTCCCTTTCTCTAATTTTTCTTAATTCCCCTGTTCTTTCTTTTAATTCTTTAATTGTGAGCGGTTTTGGGCCCGCTAAAGGATTCTCTTTAATTGCTTCCTGAAGAGTTTTTGACATTATGTCGAAGGAACTGACTCATTATATTTATTTATATATGATATATGTATATATATATTTTTTTTTTTATATTTTTTTTTTATATTTTATCTAAATCATTGACCCTACTCTGATATCTTTTCTTTAATTTCTTATTATGCTGAGCATAAATCTTTAGAATTAAATTGATTACGTTTGTAATGGCAATCACTAAAAGCAATATCCACAGAGACTTAATGTCATCTGTGTGATCAACAATTTTTATGTCATTAATGACATTGGCTGTATTGTCTTTTGCCTGGCTCTCTTCGGAGCTAAACCAGCTACCCATTTTAACAGGGTTCTATTCAAAACAAAAAAAATAAAGTCTCACAAACAAAAAAAAAAATAAGAGAGGAAAAAAAAAGAAAATGGAAGAGAAAAAAAAATTTATCCTGATTCCTAGCTGGTGGTATGAGTTGTTAGTTTATATGAGATGGCTTACATAAACAGATTTTCAAACTGGTTTACATTTTAAACTACGTTAATTTCTTAGTTTAAATTTATACCATCTCATATTGTTAGTGATGAGTTTATGGTTGGGATCGGGGTATTTTGTTAGTTCTTAATATTACCAATAAGGCTTGCGTAAACGCCTTGTGCCAAATTGGGATTTACTTATAAAATATGTACATCATATATATCATTTCAATTTTTTATTTATAAAAAAAAAATTTTGTTGTTGTTATTGCGCCTGTTCTTCTCAGCTTCCAGCGGCGGCACAGGGGGCGGTCCAATGCCTCCCGCGCTTTGATATAACTTCTGTTCTTCTCAGCTTCCAGCGGCGGCACAGGGGGCGGTCCAATGCCTCCCGCGCTTTGATATAACTTCTCCAACGGCGGCACAGGGGGCGGTCCAATGCCTCCCGCGCTTTTGATATAGCTTCCAACGGCGGCACAGGGGGCGGTCCAATGCCTCCCGCGCTTTGATACAGCTTCCAACGGCGGCACAGGGGGCGGTCCTATGCCTCCCGCGCTCTTCTTCTTGTTTTTATTTTTATATATATATATTTATCGGTACCGGTGCCGGTCATCGCACAGGTTTATGGTTGATGATTGTATATATATTTTTATTTTTTATTATTATTGGCCTTTTTGACTCAGGCGGCGCCGGTGCTGGTCATCGCACAGGCTCGTACAAATTTTCTTTATTTGATTAATCCTGATATTTTTAGGTTGTATATCTGCTTTTGTGATTAACACTTCAATTGTTGTGTTTTTCCATAAATTCCACTTAGCTTTGGATTCTTAGTAATTCCCATATTTTGAAGTAAAATATTTATATTTCTACCGGCGTTGTTTCTATTCGCATTTGTTGTATATGAATATAGTTAGATCGTGGCTTGATGTTACTATCCTAATTGCTAATTAGGTACCGCAAAGACTTATTTTAATAAAGAAATCTCGTTTAAATCGTTTCAACGAGCTGTTGCTTCTGCGGTCTGTACACGACTGCCAGCTTTGAGCTTTTATTGTAATGTCTTATCTTTATTCTTAGGCTAAGCTTATACATGTAGGTTATAATTAGGGGTATACAAATAGTTATAGTAATAGTAATATTAATAGAAATAGTAATAGAAATAGTAATAGTAATAGTAATAGTAATAGTAATAGTAATAGTAATAGATATAGTTATAGTAATAGTAATTGGATATGTGACTCCCCCACGACAAGTTTCTGCAATCTTAATTGTAGAAATTTATAAATTGTAATTACATGTATAACTCTTATAAACTTATTTTAATTTTGGAATGTGTATTTTCTTTTGACTTGGTCTTTGTATATTTTTGCGTTTGCGTCTTCATTTGATATTAGGTAGTTTCCATCTTGATGATAGTTTTGTACTAGCTTATACTTAGGATTTGATTTACCAATTTTATAATTTTTAACATAATCATTTTCAAAATTTTCCCTATTAATATTATTATTTTTTAAATTTAAGAGTTCCTTATTATGTTTGATTTTTTTCGCGATGTTTTGTTGTTGTTCTGCACTTAGGATGTTGTTTAGGAAATCGATTGGTTTCATCTTTGTAATAGAGTGAATAGTATTATTATAGCATACCATTGCTTTAAATACTTTATTTTGAATCGTATCATTGTTTTTCTCGTCTGCATTAAAAAGTCGGATGTGCTCATTTAATGTCAAGTGTAGTCTCTCAACATCTGAGTTCCCTGTTTTTTTATACGGTGTCGTGAAATGGATTTCTATATTATTATCTATAAGAAATTGTTTTATGCAATTTATATTAAATTCATTATCCGTTATAATAAGCTTGGGCTTGCCTAAGTACTGAATTCTCTCTTGTATAGCCTTTAGCAATGAAACCCAAGATCTATCTTTAATATAACAAGCAGTAGCGTATTTTGTGAATTTGTCTATTGTAGTAAGATACATAATGTTTCGCATGGGGAACCAAATATCTAGATGGATTATCTCGTTGTGTTGCGACGGGGTATCGGTTATGTTTAGCTTATATTTTAGGGGGCTTCGATCATATTTGGCCAAGTTGCAAATTTTACAATTATTAACATATTTCTGAATTTCTTTCTGAAGATTCGGATAGTAATACATTTTTTTTATTTCGGCAAAGATTTCGTTAATACCTCTATGGTTGTTTTTTAAATGTTCTTCATTTATTATTTTTAAAATTTGTTCTTTATCTGTTACATCTTTTAGCAAAATAAACGATCTTATTAGTTTTAAATTTTCGTTGCATGCAAAGTATTGTCTGTAACATTCCTGGAATTTTACGTACAAATTAACGTCTTCGCAATAAATGGCTACTAGGCCTTTATCTGGTAAGATTTCCTGCATTAATTCCAAAATGGTGAACTTATTTCCTATTGTTTCTATAATGTGTCTTATTTTTCGTTTATACAAGATTTTGGTGGCTCGCGATTCCTTTTGCGATACTTTTAGTATTATTTGCGACTTATATATGTTTAACGCGTTATCTGTATTTTTTATATAGTTTAAGTTATCGGATTGAGCACTGTGGATGGTTTCACAATTAGTGGATTGATTTGAAAAATGGTTTATTAGGTCTAGCGAAAAGTCATTGTTCAGCTCGTCAATTGTTTCGGCGGCTTGCATTGTATTGTCGAGTTCGCCTACCAATATACAAGCTTCATTCAGCTGGATTAGATCACTTCTATTTGCTTCGGGACAATCTAACAAATTATTATCAGTGCATATCCTACTTAGTCCGTCTGCTAGAGCATTTTCTTTTCCTTTAATGAAGGCCATATCGAAATCGTATTCGTTTAGTTGAATTTTCCATCTCTGTAGCTTTAAATTGGGTTCTTTTAAGTTGTTTAGCCATACTAGTGGGCGGTGGTCGGTTTTTATTAAAAACTTTCTCCCGTATAAATAG